GACGGTCGGTGTGTTCCAACGATATATTTCGGAAAGAAGGAGCCAAGGTCGCTCCTTTTTATGACTATTTAACAATCACCGTATGGTGGTTTTTATAGAATAAGGGTGACAAACGAGTGCACTGTCCACCTGATGGTTAGTAGATGCTGTGGCCTACATCCATCTTCGATTAAGAATCAAAGTGCGAACGTATTGTCCCCCCTGAACACTAAGATCGAACGCCTCCTACACCATTCGAAATACGGCAGAATTGACCTGCTATTTCACGCTGCTATTCTGTATGAGAGTGGTCCTTCCCCGATCGAACAGACCAGTTCGTGCTAAAACCATAAACTACAGCAAATAAACCTTTTAAAAAACTTACTAAACACTTAAAAATCCATTGTTCTACGTTCAGTGGGTGTAAGTGGCGACTTAGTCAATTATCAGTAAGATCTCATGGTGTAATAAGATAACTTAGACAACTGTTTTTTTACGTGGCAGTAGTGAATAGGCTTTCTTAAGCTAAGTCTTTGCGTTTTACCATCTTCGGCAAGATCACCACTTGTCATCAGCTGGGGTAGTACTCACGCACTTGAGACAAGATTATGGCAATTATTTATTCCCTACAACGGGAAAGGTTTACAGCAGTGAATTCTTAGGTGCTAATTAAGAAATAGGAGAAGACACTTATTTGAGCTCCCCCTGGTATCAAAACTCACAACCCTGTAGCCAATCAATGTCCTCCAGACCGAATTTCGGTCTCGGCGGCCAGTCTGCAACGGAGACTATCTACACCGAACAGTATTATAGTGGACAAATATATGCGCAAGCACAAGGTACATTCTCTATTCCCTCGCTCTCATAGTCCGATGGAACGATGACTTGATACGACCGGAGAGAGATCAGGCGCAAGACCAACGGCTTTACATTCTTTGAGGCACGGGGATGAAACACCGCTAACTCCCTGGCCCCGGACTACTACGGAGAATAAGAAAGAGACGGAAAACCTAATAACTGGTTTTGGTACGACCCGAGATTTAAACCCGGGACCTCGTGATAGCAATCGCGTTTACAACCACTACAAGGAGGCAGTCAGTCAGTAGCCAAGTACGTCACTAAATGTCACGGTCTTTTCAATTTCTTTTTAATATTAAATAGTAATTCTATTATCATTACTAATATTCCCGTTAATCATTCCAATTTAGCTTAAAATGCTTGTGTTAAGATCAAGAGTGCTTCACGATAGTTTTTTTTTAAATAAAATAAGGTTTTTGTAAAACAAAAATGCAGATGCGTTGTCACCCCTGAAGACTAATATGGAAGGGCCTCGTTTCCATTAAAAAGGGTCTCTGGTTCTCTACACTCACCATACGAAACACAGCAGCATTAAGCTGCTATTTTACGTTGGTATTCTGTGAGAGCGAGATCCCTCCCCGGTCGGGCCAACATGCCACATTCGTGCCAGAACCATAACACAGTTGCAGCATGGCTCTACCACATATTATATAAGTAGTCGATATAACATTCGAGAAAAGAGCTTACTCTTTTCTAAAAGGCCGGCAATGCACATGCAATTACCTTAGTGTTGCAGTTGAAGATCGGCGGCGATAGTCATTTCATGCGGCACACCATCAGGTACCGTGAGGCCGTATAAAATGACTACCGCCGTTTCAGATTCGCTCAATAATCGCTGTTTCAGATTCTCAAAAGCAAGCTCTACAGATAGAATAAAACGAAACGACACCAATAAAATGGTCCGGAACTTTCAACCCGTTTTATTTGATATTTTATAACCCGCGAACTGCAAAGTTTCTCAATGCCAGTTTAACGGCCAATTTTATTATTATTCATGCTCCTGCATTTATTGCGGTTTGCTCGACAACGCAAGTTAATTTATAAACTGTATATTCAATTCCTGCTGCTTTCAGATAGAGATACCATATGTCAGGATTTTTCGTGGGAGGGGTTTAATCTCCAACGTTGATTTTCCGCGGAAGTGCACAAAACCAATAATGGATTTGTTCTTTTTTTCAGGCTTGTTAATTACGCTTGCAAAAAAATTTACGGGACTTTTCTACGAATATTAGGCGATTTGTCAGGACTTTACAATGTTCAATGTGGTAACCCTACTTTCAGACCGCTTTCTTTGGGAAGTTTTATCGCAGTCGACACGCAAGATCGCGACCGTAGAATTAGAAAACCTGATAACCTGGACCGAATATTGGAATGACCTAGCTTGGAGTTAAGTTTTATTCACAGATGAGTCCATATTTTGCCTGATGCTAGATGAAGGAAGGATCAAAGAAAAGGTACGCTCAACGCGCTGCCTCTTTTCCAATGATGTGTAACATCAGGCAGAACAGAGGCACAATATGTAACTGAGATATTGGTAGAAATTGTAGTGCCATTTGCCCCTTTTATAGGAGATAGATTTGTTTTTATCCATGATAATGCAGGCTCCCATACTTTAGTCATAGTTTTCGAATACCTTCGAGACGTTGAAATCAACGATATGGGTGGCCAGCGCGCTCACCAGTACGTCAAACACCTCAGCCCTGTCCCCCGTAACCATAGGTGTCACAAAGCACTCGAAACTTCGGGAGTTATATACGTTCTACATTTGGACACATGAGAAGTTCTGACATGGTTTTGCAGCAAAGAAGTCCGCAGCACCGCCAATCCATGTTAATTGACTTTACATTAGCTCGAAATATTTAAAACTCACATTTGCAGGTTTCTTTGCAATGTTTGTATTCACAGCAATGAAGGTGGTAAATCAGCATCTAAAATTGCAATAAATAATTTCAACGCTCCTCAAGGACAACGAATGCGCTAGTGCTCCCATACTATAGAAATTTTAAGTCAGACACTTTCCCTTCACAGCTGACGATAACAGAATAGGAAAAGGAATAATGCCATCAAAACATAACTTGTAAAAAAAACCAAGTCTCGCAACTCAGTTCTTCTACCGTAAAAAGTTGTGAGATCCATGTAAATACCAAGTCGGTTAATTTATTCAGTCCCTACTTATGGGTCCTTCTGTTTTAAGTTATTACGTAATTAGCTAATCTAACAACATTTTATAGTGACCATATCAATATTAAAAATCTTTTATGTTTGAAATGAATAAATTGACTTGGCCATCGCAAGAAAACACAATGTATCTCACAAGTAATACATATTATATTAAATTGATTGCTTAGTGCGACTGCCAAGTCAATCTATATATTTCAAACATGTAAGATTTTTAACATTGATATGGTCACTATAAAATGATGTTAGGTTAGCTAATTACGTATTATTTTTTATTACGTACGGCCGTGCCACTTTTTTGCTCGACTTGGCGGGGGCACTGCCGTGCCCCAGGTTTAAACACAACCTTTAAAAAACAATGAAATCAAACATTTTAAAAGAATAAATTACATCTATATCTTTTGGTTCTAATACTATTTGGACGATAATATTAATTTTACTGCGCAATACTAGGGATTAGTAGTCATTAAAGGCTCAGTCTTTCAATAACTATGGAAAATTGACATACTCGGGGACGGAGCACGTGTCTACATAAAAGCGCTTATAATAACGCGTCATAGCGCCAAAGTGAACCAACCGTTAAATAAGCTTACTGGTGATAAAAATAGCCACTACATTATCATCCCCTACAACTAATTAATGGGTTTGAAACATGGTAGAGCCCCGCTGCAGCTATATTATAGTTATAACACGAAGGGGTCAGCTTGACCGTGAAAGGACCACGCTCTCATAGAATATCAGCGTCAAATAGCAATTTGATGCTGCTAAATTTCATATAGTGTGTAGAGAACCGCAGACCCTTTTTGATGGAAACGAGGCATTTAATCTTAGTCCTCAGGGCTAACGCATGTGCATTTTGATTTTTGATCGAGGATGGATGTAATACCTTGTACTTCCTGCTCGTGAGCCGTGGCACCCGAGCTAATTTTTGAAAAGTTCCGAGCCGGGCTCGCAAGTCAAGGTGAGCCGGTTTGAGCATTCAGTTTCTCTCCGTATAACGATGGAAAACCAAGTATTATTAGCTGCTACGGCGCTTATGTTGTCTGGATATATCATTAAAAAAAAGAAAAGAGAAACGAAAACTCTGGATTAAAAAATTGTACCAAAACCGAAACCAATACGGTAACAATTTGTTAAAGGAACTAACAATCGACCATTCAGTCTCAAGTTTTACACGCATGTCTGCGGGAGACATTGAATATTTGTGCTCCTTAGTGGCTGTGAAAATACAAAAATGTGACACTAACTACAGAGAAGCAATAACTGTATTCGAAAGAGTGCTGCTAACATTGAGATATTTGTGAACTGGAGACTCCTATAGCAGTCTTCAATATCTTTTTAGAGTATCGAAACAATCTATATCAACTATAGTTCCAGAAACGTGTGATGCAATTATAGACGCCCTCAGTGATTACGTTAAGGTAAATAAAAATCATGGTAATTAAGCAATCAAATTATTTATTTATCTGCCTCATATTTAAATAACGGAGCTGTCACCAAAATTAAAGTCTGATGTTTCAGTAGTAGTGGCAAGAGTAAATTGTGTGTTCTGCAGATTTTCACCGGAAGTTATGGTTGACGTGGTAGTGGGTGGTTGTGTATAATATCCTGGTCTATACATCTGATATTTTCCTATGTCCGCTTCGTGAATATTAATTAATATAGCATTTTTAACACATGATTGAGTGTAAGGATCGTATTTTCTGAGTTCATGTGCAATATGATTACCGAATGCTACACATGGATAATTTATGGAAGTTGAACTTTTCTCAATTATGGCAAAAGTGTCCTTCAATATATCTTACTTACTTACTTACTTATGTTCACGCACAATCCCTAACAGGGTAGCCAGAGAGAACAGATCGCCGAGTGTCACGATCCTTACATACCCCTTTCGATTCTTTCATGTTCATTAACTTCTTCATACATGCACGTCTAGGTATCCGAGTACTCTTGACCTTCCCCTCAATATATTGTCAAGAGTATCATTTGGTGCATTCGTATTCAGCAGTCTTTTCTTTCGCGATGGTTGTGGCGATGGCAATGGTTGTTGTGGCGGTGGCAATGGTTCTTGTAGCGATGGCGTGGGTTCTTGTGGGGATGGCGTGGGTTCTTGTGGGGATGGCTCGGGTTGTTGTGGCGATGGCATAAGTTGTTGTGATGGTCCTGGTTGTTGAGAAGGATTGCTCTGTAAAAATAATGTCTATTTTGTTATTTGCAGACACCGTCCACAGAAGAAGAATGGCTAGCAGTATCAAATGAATTTGAAATAAAGTGGAACTTCCCACATGTTATAGGGGCTATGGACGGGAAACACGTAACTCTTCAAAGACCCATCAATATAAGTACTGATTACGACAACTACAAGAATTTTCCTAGTATAGTGCTCTTCGCTCTCGTGGATGCTAATTACAAATTCTTGTTTGTTAATGTCGGAAGTAAAGGGCGTATTTCCGACGGCGGAGTTTTTAAAAATACGATTTTATATCGAAAATTAGAAAACTGTCAACTGAATATTCCTGAAGCGCAGATGCTTCAAATACCGTACATAATGAAAATACCATATTTCATATTGGGCGACAAAGCTTTTATGCTTACCAAATATACTATGAAACCATTGGAAGAAAATCCAGAGGCGGGTTCCAAAGAAAGAGTGTTTAATTACAGACTTAGCAGAGCTCGCAGAGTCCTTTAAAATGCCTTTGGTATTTTAAGTTCAGTCTACAGAGTCCTTAGGAAACCTATCCTCCTAGAGCCAGAAAAAGCTACAAAAGTTGTCTTAGCAACAGTGTATTTATATAATTACTTACGAATAAATAACTGTTCTATTCCACCAGAATATTATGATAGAGAAGTTGATGGTTCATTTAATCCAGGTCAATGGAGAAACAATATTCCATCTAAAGCTCTATTACCTCTAACGGCCATTCCGCGCAGAGGTACTGTTAGTGCTAAAGATATTCGTCTACATTTAGCAACACATTTTGTAACAAACGGAACCATGCCAAGCCATTAAGCCATGGAATTATGGCAGCATCAATATTAACGTTCAACTAATTTTGAAAATAAACATAAATAAGTGACTTACGATATGTATTCCGCCTTCTTTTGTAATTCCTGTCATCTTTATTTGACAAAAAGTATACAAAATATTTGAAACCAAACCAGTTCTATATATAAATATCGTCAGCGCCTGTAATGTGTAATTTGTAGACGTTATAGGTACATAGTAAATGTTGTACATATTGATATTTGATAATGAGATTAACTAATCTAACATTCACTATAATTAAATAAAAGAATCCTTACCTGAACCAGTGATATTACCTTGCTTTTGGTCGTATGTAGAGTCAAGTTTCTTTTTCAACTCGGGTATAGGTAACTTCATTTGCTTAGAGATCTTCCTCCAGCAATCTTCTCGCTTGATTTTATTTAGATGATCTGGATCTTTCGAATCCCATAACATTTAGAAGCTTCTGTAAAGTTGTATTAAGCGAATACTGTCATCTTTATCCAGTTTTGATTCACTGGCTCGCGAGTGTCGTTACGTCCGTCCACACCGGGCGAGCAGCTCAGAGCTCAGACTGAGCCGCCTTTGAGCATCGGCAAAAACCGACAACGCATGGCTCGGGGCCGAGCGGCGCTCGGCCGAGCCAACGTGTGCCCGAGGAAGCCCGAGCGCCGTCCACACCTGCCGAACTATTGGCTCGCGATGAGGTTTGATTAGCTGATTTAAGGCAGTTACACTTTTTCATTTAAAAATTCATTACACCCCACCAAAACTCTATAGCTAAACATAGACCAGCCTCCTCCATAGATAGCCTTATAGGGAGAATATTTATCATACCCCCCGCCATACACTCGTTGAGTGGCATGGGAAGTAGCGACGAAAGGAGGCGGAGACATAGTGTGGCCACAATACTCGTCATGCCGCACTTCATGCTCCTCGTAATGACCACCGCTCCCTGTCTTGTTGGTTTTTTGGGCGCGAGTCAAAGGACTAGCAATATGAGCGGGAGTAGCCGGCCACATAGTCGCGCGAACGCAGTTCGAACCGAAAGCTCATCAACCATCTCTGTTAGCGAAGACAACCTATATTTCTTTTTTACGACATTGATATAATTAGCTATGCTAAATAATATTTTCACAGCCGTTGTGTTGCAAACGCGAGCGACCTAGTACGGAACGTCGCCATTAATGCTCGAGTAGAGCAGTGTGTAAGCAGGGAGGGCAACATCGCGGCAGTGCGAGGCGTAGCATAATATGGCGGAGCCGTTAGTTGCCACGCTACTACTACAGTGCCTCCGCCATTTTCACAGATACTCACACAGACAGATTCACTGCAATCATGCGCTAGCTCTGCGCTTTGCTACCTTGGCGCGTGCGCGACAGCACCAACACCATTCTGCGCGAGCTGGACGACCGTTGGGACTTGCCGATGTTGGCTAGCTGGATACGGCTGCATGCTGTCTTGTAGACTGGCTTCTTGCCAGCATCAGTGCAGTTTCGTACTTGTGTCTTCAACAAAATGCTACTAACACTGAATATAAAAAAACATTTACTAACAACTATGGATATTTTTTGTCAAAAATAAATGAATTATTATTATTAGCAGGTGGGGGCAACTACAGTTTTAGTTTTAGTTTTAGTAATTTTAAACTATTATCACGAAATTGTTGCTACTTATCTCCTAATTTTGTTCCTTTGTCACCTTTCGGGTACTTATCCACGGAATCATATATGGTAGTGAATTCTCAAACTGGTTCTTTTCTTTTCTTTTCACAACTTTTACTCTCACATGGCTTTGACATTTCGCAAAACTTTCGAATCTATCGAGTTAAAATTAACTCTGGTACCAACTTCGCATCTTTTTATATAAAATGTCCAAAAATAAAATAATATGTCAAATGTCAAATAAGAAGTACAAGGCAGAATTAATGAGGAGCATAGATTAGGTACAAGTTGATCGTATGCGTCATGCTATTGGTGCAAGTGGACTTTTTCATCGTTTACTTTATAAGCCCCTGACTGACGCTATTCACCGTTGGTCTGAGTATCTTAAATTTAGCACAAACGTGGTGGCTCAGAAACTAAGGTCACTTACTAAATTTCAGAGTATACACAAGCAATCCGGGTTTGATCCCGGCACTAATGAAATTGTTAATTGAAATTTTAAATATTGTTTTACCACGTCCTCTGCTGTCGGCATCGTGAAGTAACCTGCTTGTCCGAAAAATAAAATATTTCAAGGATGTATTAAATCCGCCAGCAGGCCCTGGCAACGCAGTACAATTATATATTCTTAAGCCTCTCAACAATGTGACAATCGGCAACGATAGTTACTCATCATCAGATAATCATACCGCTCTTTTATCTCGTCCTCTAAAATTATGAGAACAAGATAATTAATAGAATCGTTACTTTGCAGAAATCCATTATATATCCTATTAAAGTTGGTAAGAATTACTTCGCCCACATCTGCTCAATAAAATAAAATTATGTGTCTTACCTAGTTTGAAGAGCACCTACCGCCCTCCCTCAATTGCGTGCACTAATCCCGCCACCAATAATCCCAGCACCACTACTCCCAACACAACTACACTAGGAAAAACACCATCGACGATAATACGACACGTGTTTTGCCTCTACACCTGGCATCCTCATGATGTAGACTGCGGTGGCTGACCGCTAAGTCACTCCTACCGCTACCAACCGACCGCTAAGTCTCTTCCTAGTGAGGTCTCTTCTTAAGTCTCTTCCTTGAGGGAGGGCGGGAGGTTCTCTTCAAACTAGGTAAGACACTTCATTTTATTTTATTGAGTGGATGTGGGCGAAGTAATATAATGTATGTACATAAAAACATAAATAGCTTTCATAAGAATAAAGATGTTCATACCTTAAACACTAAGAATAAGCTAAATAAGCTAAAAAGCTAAATAAGAAAAATAAGCTTGTAATACCAGTTACTAAACTCCACAGAATTAGTAATTAATTTATGGGGCAAAGTATACACTTTTAGTAAGTACTAATTTTAGTAAGTACCTTTTACAACAAAATCTCAGAAAATGTACAAAATTTGTCATTAAACAAATTTAAATGTTTTATTAAAGAAAAATTGTAAAAAAAAGGGTTATTATAATGTAAATGAATACATAAATGAAAACAACCCCTGGGAATGAGGCGAACGCCACCATGCTGGTTCTATAAAAATTCATACAAAAATTGTACAAAATAAATTTATTGTAAATTGAAATATGTTTAAAAAAAAGTCCCGCTGGGTTTCTTGCTGGTTCTTCCCAGGACAGAGGTTTTCTTGCGAATCAATGGTAAATAAATAAAGAAATGACTTTCAATAAGTATTATACAATAATCTATATTGAATAAAAAATCATTCATTACATCAACTTTAATTATGAGAACAGGTCAGTGTCGTAAATATGTAAATTGTAACTTTATATTTGTTGTGTTAAAGCGACAGTAGCCTAATGGAAGGGCGCCGACCGCGAACTCAAAAAGGTTGTGGGTTCGAATCCGCCATTCAACTACTGGCGTGAACCACTCGTAACACAAGCATTTAAGCTTACCACGAGTGGTTAAGGAGAATATTAGTAATGTTTGTAGCATTGTTAATATTCTTTTTAAAAAAAATATACTTACGGAATGATGCCCCCCACCCTATTTATCGGAGGCAATGACTTTTATTAGTTTTGCAGTCCGCTCCTTAGATAAGTCGCCCAAAATTTTCTTAAGTGCGTTTGTTTAAATATTTAAGTTTATGTTATGTATAAGTGATCTTTGGTGTAAGCAGGTGTAAACTTTATACTCCTTTACGAACACTAGGACTATTTTAGACTTTTACTCCGGATTGTATTGAAAATAAAATTCCATTTTTTAACATTTATTAAAGAGTTGCACATTTAATTTCATTTCGTTTTGCATAATAATTATTAAACCATCTAAATAAATCTAAGAATACACGCGAAATACAGAAATCTAGTTCTACCTAGGGTTGCCAGAGGGTCGGGAATCGTCTGGATTCACTCGACATTTTAAATAATCTCGAAATTCCCGACAAAACTCAAAATCTCTAGACAAACAGCTTCTCTTCACATCACAGCTGCCCTAGATGTAATCAAACTGACAGTAATTAGACTGAACTTTACTTCAAAGTTAAAACAATTTACATCAAATTATTTGAATTTTAAATCTCTTCTGAATAATACTAAAGGATCCACATTGGTAGACTCAGTAAAGTCCAATGTCAAATACATGTGGCAAAATAAAAGTCCTCCAGACCTAATTTCGGCCACGGCGGCCTGCCTCAACGGAGGCTAGCCATCGGCGCAGGACAGGATTATAGTGACCAAGTGTATGCGCAAGCACAGGTGCACTCTCTATTCCCTCACTCTCATAATCCGATGGGACGGTAAACCGACACGACCGGAGAGAGATCAGGCGCAGGACCAACGGCTTTACGTGCTTTCCGAAGCACGGGGGTGAGACACCACCCACTTCCTGACTCCGGGCAGCTACTGAGAATCTCTTAACAGAAAAACTCAATTATTTGATTTTTTTTGGCCCGACCCGGGGTTCGAACCCAGGACCTCATGATCAGCAGTCGCACTACTACAACCACTAAACCAACGAGGCAGTCAGAGGCAGGCCTCCGTCACTCGCTCTAGGCCACGCGTTATATGCCTACCGCTCTGCGTATCGCCCACGATACAACCGACATTGGGCTGCCGCATGCCCGCTTGAGCGCTCGCACAGCGCACGTTTCCAGCGCATAGTCGTCGAATTTTTTTTTTAATATTAGTAATCCTATTTATTAACATTACTAATATTCCCTTTAACCACTCCTGGTAAGCTGAAAATGCTTGTGTTAGGAGTGGTTCACGACAGTAGTCGAATGGTGGATTCGAACCCACGACCTTTTGAGTTCGCGGTCCGCGCCCTGCCATTAGGCTACTGTCGTAATGCCAAAACTATGTAATTATTGTGCAGTGGATGGGTGTAAAAGTCAAAAAACAAATGAAAAATTGTCTTTTTTGCGTTGACTCATGTATCAGAGTATTTATTATATAAGTGTAGGAAAAAAAACATAACTGCACTAGCTTCAATGCTTTGTCACAGAACCCTAATGTAATGTTCTGTTTTCCTCATGATTATTTATTAAAATTATTTACGCGATTTAGGAAACTTCAACGATAAAATTTAATAACCGAGAATTCAGAGAAGGAAAATATTGTATAAATCATTTTATAAAACTTAAACATATTTGATTGACAAATAAAAAATATTGTTAGTGTGTATATATTTCGCAACATTCGTTTTATTACAATAATCATCATAGGTACAACCCTAGCGCATTCGTCCGAATGACGCGCTTGCACGTGAGTCGCACGGCGGGTAACACAATCTCAACTCTTTATGCGCGAATTTATGGTACATTTTCTTCTCGCTGTG